CAAAATGGTTGACCTCGTTGGGCAGCACAACGAAAGGGCACTGGGCATGCTTTGATCTAGATACCCGAGATAGCCTGTAAATACATCAAGGCTGATGCAGATAAGTAGGGAATAACCCGATGATCTTTTCCACAGTGAAACAGAATAAAATATGAGCTTGAAGTGCAGCGTGGAAAGCTGCACTCGATATTAGGGGGGGAAAACAAACAGACAACCACCAAACGTAAGGTTAGTGAAGCTCTGAAGCAAAGTCTCCATCACTGGAGGTTTTTTAGAGCCAGGTAAGACTGATGCTGGGGTCATTAAATTCCTTTCAGCCTGGTATGTGAACGAGATTTCACAGGGTCCATTTTATGCAAAGAAGCTTTGGTCCACCGATGGTAGAGTCAGCAATAAGCAAATCCAAGACAGCACTAGGACACGCTGGACAAATCAGTTGGCACTAGAGGTATTTCCTGACAGTCAACTTCATTTGTAGTCAGCCACGGGATATACCTCATTCTCCCAGCCACGTATAATTTCTTTTAGCGACATGGCAAAACAGGAGGGAGTCTGTTACGCTTCACTGCTACCAGTTTTAAAAAGGACAGTAATACAAACGGGATATTGAGCAGTACTGTCCAGCTGTTCGCAGTCACATATGTGTTCTGGCAACCTGGCAGGTATCGTTGCCTACCATAAAGGTGGCCCAACCACCAGTACTTAAATCACTGCAAAGCAACTGTGTCCTTCAACGGACTCTTGGGAGCAAAGACCATTCCTATCCTCACCAAGACAGATAACTGGAGACTACTTGGTGTGTTACTGCTAACACAAAAGAGCACTGTTCAGCATGCACATTAAAAGCTCCCACAACAGATTTTTATTAAATCCACATTGCTTTGCATGGGAACCCGGCTTGCCAAGATTTCCAAAAATTATCATCTTGACCACCTCCCCTTTTGGGAGACTGACTCAAGAGGCCTTCAAGAGGGGGAAAGGACAAGCAACGGGCACGAGTATGTGTTTTCAGAAAAACAAAACAGATCTCTCTAACAAGTTCAAATCACACCAGCTAAAATGAGTGCTCTCAAAGTCACATGTTACCCTGAAAAAATCCTCTGACTGTGGAGAAGAAACATCCACAAACTAAACGTGTCCCTCAAGATACGAGGTGTTGACATGACACCATGGATGGGATTTCACCCAAAGTCAACTGCAGAAATCAAGCATTTCAGGAATCCTACCACACTCAGTGGTGACAAAGGAAGCAGAAGACATCTCTTAACACAGGTACCTACTTTAAGATAAGACAAACTGTCTTCTGAAAGCACGCCCCTCTCTCTCTCCCCCCCTCAACTATTGCTACAGCATCAATGACTAGCTCAAATTAGATGTCTCTTAGGACAAGATGATAATTGGAATGATTTTCACCATCAGAAATGGCTTACTGACAAATCACAAAAAGCCCGTTCAGTCATTTAAGCTCTGAGAACTTTCTAGGCACACAACAGTCACAGCTCTTCCCTACACATCCTCTGTGCCATTCATTCCAAAACACAAAAACCGTCCCACCAAATGATAATTTGAAAAAAGCTGCAGTCCTTATTCTGCTTGCTGACCGCAAGCTTACCTCAAGATCATCCACCATCTGTCTTTTCAGGAGCCTCTCTGCTCAAAACCACAACAAAGAGAAATGTAACAAAGCACCTGGACTTTCGATAGCAAAGTTGAGTCACGGCAGCTTGCAGATGGACCACTAAATCAACTGTTGAAATCTAGTAGGTTACATCATAGCCTTGACTTTTCCTTAGAGCAGAAGATAAGCACAGGAGACAAAACAAGATGCAACATTTCCATCAACAGCTGCACGGGACGTAGGAAGGACAGCCCTGGAGCCACTATTTCCTTCCCTACACCCACCCCATCTCCATGATCACATCTCAGTTTCCCAGACCGACCCTGGGCATCACCTACCTGTTTAATATTGTCAGTGACTTGTTCCTTCCTTAGCCTTGGCTCCTCTTGTCCTGTTCCAATGAGCCTTCCTTCTCTGCTCACTCAGAGCAACGAGAGCTGCTGTCTCAGTGACCCATAGAGCCTGGTTGACCCGGGACCTCCAACCCTACACCATCAGAAAGGCATGGGCCAGGATGCAACACCATGCTCACACAGCTCATTCTTCTTCTCACCCACTTCACTTCAGCAAAGACTGCTAAATGCTTGGTATTTTGCCTCAAGGTGTCGCTTTAAAACCTAAGCTTGGATGTTTGGGGTTTTTTATTTATCCCCAAGTCTCAGTCAGAGACCAACCTTCCTTCTCTAGCTGTGAGAGGACAGCTCACTGCACTACCATCTTTGATACATTTCTATTTAAGGAGGGAAGGGTTACAGCTTAGCCAAGATCTGAAACACCTTTGGCTTAATCTCCCTTATTTCTTGGTCTTTTACCTTTGCCTCTATGGCAGAGGAAGGCAAACCATCCTCACAAAGGGACAACTTGGTTACTCGTGGCTCCTTCCAGCAGACCTTGGGCAGGGCAGGTGTGTCTGCATCTCCCACTTTGCTCAAAATATAATCCAAGAGAACACACGAGCCCAGACCTCAACCCAGAGAGATGACCCAGAGGGCACCACTCTCCCTTGGCAAACGACTAACAAGATCCCTGAAGATGATTCCAAAGCTTTTGGGGGGTTTGAGTTTTTAGGGTTTGTTTTGGGTAGGGTTTGGTTTTTTTTTTTTTTTTTTTTGAGTTCTTTTTAAATTTCAGCACTTTGAGACAAAAACACTCGGGCTGGGATTCCTGATTTACAGGAGCGTCTGTTGCTGGAGGGAACTGCCCAACCTATCAAGTGACACACAGTCAGGGGCTCAGCTATGCTCATGCAATTATCTCCTCTGAAGTCCCAGCATTTCGGTGGAAAAAGGAAGACCCCAGTGAGCCAACCCGATACCCAGACTCTTCCCTGGCACAGCAAAGACCCATAGTCTTCAAGGAGTGGTGACAAACGTCTCCTTCACCAATGACACTTCACAACTGCCATGCACCTCTGTCTTTGCAGCCCTTTCCTGACATAGGAAGTCTTCCATCTGCAATCACCTGCAGCTAGGATAGTAACATAAGGAAAAACTTGCAATTATTTTTAACATTGGAAACAATTAATCTGAAATCCCAGGTCTTCCCTTCATCCTCACTTTGATGCAGCTGAAAACCCATGCAAAGGGTGCTTGGGAGAGAAGGCAAAGCAGCAGTCTCGTATCCCGACGGTGGATTAGCTTCATGCCTTCAGCCCTTGTGTCTTACATCAGGTTGCCTGCCCCTCCCTCTCCCCTTCACGGGGTGGCGAGGGTGAATTTAGAGCTTGATAACAGGACCTGGACATCAGCTGAGGCAGAATAAAGCTGTGCCTGTTCAAGCTCGGTTCTTACCTAGACCTCACACACTAGTGCCGGGTCCCCAGGGTAAGTCACTCTAAACCCAAGCTAATTTGGTGTGTAGGAGGGGCGACAAACACGCGAGGAGCGTATGCATCTACCTGTGAAAAGAAAGCTTTTTTTACCGGGCTCCACAGGTGAAAGCTTAGCAAATAACCCTTCTAAGCTTCCTTGATCGGCTGGCTTTGCTGTGGAGTGAAGGGCAGACCTGATAAGATTAGCAGTCTATCGTGGTCAGTCATGTATATAGGAAACATAGTTAAAAATAGAGAAAGTACAGCAACGCCTAATGTCTGCTCCAGTTGAGATTGGCTTTTCTTATGATCTGTTTTCTGCTAATAAAAGAGATGGAGCAGACAAGTGTTACCAGTGCCAAGCTTCTCAGAAAGCAGAGACGGGAGACACTGAAGAATAAACCAGAGTCTGCTCCTCTTATGAGAAATCAGGTATCAAACTGCTGATTGGGCAGGTGGGCAATATAGCACCTTAAACTTTCTGGACAATCACCTAATAGGGATCCCTATTATATTTTGCCACAAATACTTCACTAACTTGCCTGCTATGCTGTTAACATCCACAGGGGCTCTTCCAGAGAAAGAACTGTCTATCGAGACTGATTCTTATCCTACCTTTAAAACCAGTCCTTAAGATCCTATATTTTCTATATGGTTTTATTGAAGGTTACTGTGAGACTAGAGGCAGGGTACCATCTAAAATGCTGTATTACTTGAATGACAAAAGTCCACTTTAGAATAAAGTCATTTGAATTGAATTTTTTTTTTTGGTTTTAAGCGCTGAAATATCACATATCCTAGTGAAGGAGATAATTACTTGGCAGAATTTCTGCAGGAAGAACAATACTCTGGGCATCCTTTTAAATCATAAATAGCATGCAAGGGCAATACAGTTGCATATCAAAAGACAGAAGTGTCCACAGGCCAAAAGCTGGTGGACTTCAGTCAGCAGAAGCGTCAGCGGTCACACACACACAAGCTCTTGTATCTACCATCCCGTGCTGTGACACGCACACGACAGCCTACTTCTTTACTTAGCTTTCTGCTACAACCTCCAGCCTATAGTTTCTTAAAGCTGATGGGTGCTGAACGGGGTGTTTCTGAGGTTTTTTTTCCTCCTTTGTGTTGCTGCTTTAACTCTGTGTTAAAGGTCATGTGTCTGTGACCTTTAAAAAGCCAAATTTTTTACAAATCCAAAAATCACAACGTCCCTACAACCCCAACCCATCGCCACAGTACTGTTGCTTGAGTGTTGTTAAAATACAGGCTCTGAGCCCAGCTCTGTCCTGCCCCTCACTAATTCTTTACTTAAGTAACAATTAGGAGAGAGCTGAGCTTGTGTAAGGCTAACATCAGACATTGGACAGCCCAATCCCATCTTCCCCTTGAAAGTGTGAAAGGAGGAGAAAACAATTAAAAAAAAAAAAAAAAAAAGAAGACAGATAGATATAGCCCCTTTAACCCCAAGAAACACCACGTGGTGGGGAACCTAAAGAAACAAGTGACAAAGTGACAATACTGACAACAGCCAAATCCCATTATTTCAAACTACCACCACAAAAATCCACTCACCTGATGAACACTCTGCTAGGCTCCACTTGCAACCTGAATAGTCTGCTGCTAGGAAGCCTGACAATAAAATGCAAGTGTAAAAGGCTGAACACAAGCCAAATACTACAGTTGGGGGGGGGGTGGGGGTGGGCATTAAGTGGGGTAATTAATGTATTCATAGGAAATACATCCTTTTGCTTACTAGGTGAATTTAAAAATTCAACGTCCACATATGAGTAGAAAATTCAATGTCACATATGAGTAACACCCCGATATTAGGCACAGTAACTAGAATGTTTCTACCTCTATACAGAACATTACGTGCATAAGAGGGAGGTAGAGTAAGTGGAAGGCAAGTATAAGATACTTCCAGATATTTGTTGTACCGTATTTTACAAATAATTAGATGAATGGCTTAATTGGACCAGAGAGGCCCGATAAGAAACTGCTGCACAGAAGTGAGAGTAGTAAAATCCATCTCGGAGAAGCTAAGGCCACCTCCAATAAAGCTCTCCACTATTCCCCGAGTAGAGGGATGAGAAATGAATGAAAAGCAGAAATGGCTGCCAAAGTGGCATTTCTATGTATCCCAAGAGCACGAGGCTGGAAAGTTCATGAAATCCAGGCACTCGGCCTCGTTGGTCCCTGAAAGGAGCTCAATGTGTTTTTAAGGCTCCGGCAGACTCGGAGCTCAATGAGTTTCACAAGTTCGTACGCTGCACGATAGATCACATGTGAACACTGACATTAGCATATACTACAGAGCATTTAGCACATGGAGATATAAAGCAGCTATTGTTCTGGCAGTAAGGTAATACGTAACCAGATAGTCTCTGGCTTCATCTAAAAAACATTTTCCCAGCATTTCGCTGACTTGTTCAGCAGGAGCCTCTCTGCTACAACAGAGTGCACATTCATGGCCAACGAACGGGTCCAAAGCGATGGGTTCTCTCCCCCAGTGCCCCACTCCCGGCCCCCGCGCCTCTTCGCTGGGGGAAATCAGGCTCTTAACCTAAGAGAGGCGACGTGAACTCACAGCCAAGCAAGGTGCACAACTTTTGGAAGAGGACAACGCCTCGGGAAGGCGTTCAAAGCTTTACCTTGCAGATATGGAAAGCTGCAGCTCTGGTGGAGCCTTACCTTACGCTAGTTCCCACACTAGCTATAAGGAGGTAAGCACTCTTCTTTTTTCCTCGGGGGAAAAACCCTTAAGGGTCCTTTTTTTCCTCTTCTTCAAAGCATACCCTTCAAAAATAGCTATAAAAGCATCCCTGCTACAAACCAGCACACACCCTTGTTGCAACGGTGTGAAGTGTCACGGCGCTTTGGTGTCTGCAGCCTGTCTTCTTTATAGGACAAGGGACCCCTTTGGCACAGATCCCTCCCCTTCCCCCTGCGTAGGGCCTGGCCCATCCTCAGCAAGGCAAGCAATAAATCACGGCAAATACACGACTCAGACGTGGAACGTATCGTGTAAAGAGCAAGTTTTTACAGTCCACATTCCTCCTTTTTTCGTACACCACCGTCTTCCACAGCCCGGGCTGCGCAGCAGGTGGGGTGGGTTCCTACCTCTCTCTCCCAAGAGTACTTATTCTTGGTATGCTACTGCCTCTGGCAGATTCCTCCCTTTTAAACTCTGCACATCTGTTGATTAAAAAAAAAAAAAAAAAAAAAATAAAAAGCTTGGACTCTGGCCTGGTTGACTGAAGGCACAGAACATTTGTGCGTCTGGGCAGAACCTGAGCCACGCAGGCTGGGGGGTTGGAAGCTTCTTTGCACGCCAAGAAAAGGCAACGATGGGTTCAGGGAGAGAAACGACCGTTTGCTTTGCAGTAAGGAGGGGTCTTCCAGGCTCTCTGTCCCCATGGGTCTCACCCCGGGTGTGCAGGGTCCCGCAAAGGGGAGACTCATGGCACATGGACCTGCGTGGACAAAAACTGCAAGAAGAATCAAGCAGCCGCTCGTGTAACAGCCCGTCCTGTTGCTTCTTGGGGCAGGACAGGACAGGTCAGAAACCCTAGAGCTTCCCAAGAGCGAAAGCTGCTGGGGTGGCTGGAGCATCCATTCTGCTCCGCATCCGCTGTGAATGGGGCAGACGGGCGTCCCGCTCGCTGGTGGTGGGAACGGACCACTTGCTCATACCACGAGTCCATCTGGACCAGAAGCTGTCACACCTGACAGCAACAAACAAGCAGAAAGACTAAAACCCGGCCAAGCCCAAGCCTCGTTAATTTGCCGTGGGCCTCCAAACCTCTTAACAATTAACTCCCATTTGGAAGTGCGACTCGGACCCTTTTTTGCAAAGAAAACGTACCACGAACCTCTGAGAAGATTCAGCTGAGGGCATCGTAACACATCTGCAGGTTAAAGCAACAGGAAACTACCATGGGCCAAACCCACTGATGGTGTGTAATTGAACACAAACACCCCCAGCTGCTGATCCCCCTGACTTCAAAGGAACTGAACATACTATATTTATGCCAGCAATAAAACTCAGCTTCCATTAGCTATATGTTCTCCATTTAAAGGCAGTGGTCCTGTGGCGCACACACCAATTAGAGTCCCCTAATGCCTTTTTTTTTTTTTTTTTTTTTTTCCCTGATGGGACAGGGTGGAAGGGAAGAGATCAGCCGGCTCAGGGGAATAGCAGAGAGCCTTTCACCGCGAGGTCTCGCGTTCAAATCTGTCAGAGGCCAGCGGTAACAGATGGCCACTTCTGAAGGCGGTTCCGTAGCTTACATGAAATGAGGGACTGTCTCAGGCCACTGGTGGACAACTTACCGAAGCCACAAACGCACTGCTGGTGGTTTCTGGCAGAGATGCCAAGGGATTACACGGGTACGAAGCAACTGCTGCCTACCTGATCAAAGGCACCTCCCTCCTGGAGGGAAATGAGGGAAATTGCAGCTTACGGCTGCCGCTGCCCGCACGGTGCAGGAACCTCTGGAAGCACAAGCCTGGATCTCAGTCTGCTGCCTGCTTTAGCTGTCATCGGCTCCTTCGGCTCATCAGCACCAGTTCCCGTTCACCGCACTTCCCTTTGGACGTGCTTGAGGTTTTGAAGATGAAAATCATGGGGTGGTGTGGGGGGGTAAATTTTGATGAGGAAGTTCTGTGGCAACAAGGAGGCAAACCCACAGGGAGGGAAAGTTTGCTATGATCTCTAAGCTGGGTATGGGAATATCAAATAACACCATGATTAATTTTAAACCGATTCCAAGCTAGCGCTCCCCTCAATCTTTCCCTTCTTAGAGTCTGTGTCTTCTCCAGGGCACACTTGAACTTACTGTGGGCAGATGGTAAACAGTCCACCAGTGACTGAGCATCCCTGGAAGGGAAGGGGGTCCATGAGAGCCGTCAGAAGGCGTTACTCAGAGGAATTTGAAAACATGACGGAATAAATTAAGCCAAAGGATATATGGGGTGGGAGGAACAAGTCAAATTCAGCCTTAGAAATGCCAACTCTAGGTTTGGAAAAGATTCAGAGGAAACCACTTCAGGACAAATTGCCTTTTTTTTTTTTTTTTTTTTTCTTCTTCTTGGAACCTGTTTCGCAGCTTCACGTCGACTCACAGAGGCACACACGTGTGTGCTCCTGACCTGGCAAGCGTGCTTCGCAGCAGTGGCTGCTGTGGCTTCAAACACACCGACGCTGACGGACTCGTGCGGCCACGGAGATAGCAGCCTCCCACAGCAAGCAGAAGCCACCGTCCTGCTCTTGTGTGCCGGCCTGCCAGGGTCTGCAGTGCAGGGAAAATAGGGCGATTCCCCTGCAATCTTCCTGCACAGCTGTTTACTAGCTGCGGATTACCACTGTCACATGAGCTGCTTTACAGCAAAGCCAAGCTGTCTTCATGAGCTGAGAAGGTCACTGGGAGACAGGGGCCTCCAGGGACAAACACACCACCCTCTACTGCCACTGTGATTTACCTCCCAGAGGGATGCCAGGCAGCAAGAAAAGTGTTCCTGACTGGTCAGAGGGCAATGAAAAATGGGTTTACCTTCAAACCCTCTGCCCAGCTATCGTTAGGACTCACCCAGTCAATGGGGAGAGGAGGGACATCCCCAGGGGTCAGTGTCATGCTATCCATTTACCAGGCTGCAGTCAAGATGCTGGAAGGCTGGAACAGTCATTACAGTGACAAATTCACCTTCTCTTCCTTGCGTGCCCACAGGCGAGGGCGTCCCACGAACCTTTCGGACAAGGCCACCCAAGCGTCACCAGCCAAGGGATGCCAAGGTGGAATGGCATCTCCCCAGGCTCTCGTGCAACCTGCTGACACCTCAGAGCATAAACGAATCAATCCTGTAGCAAGAAATGTTGTCCTCTTCAAACCCAAAATCTAACCGCTGAACATCAGGGCCCACAAAGAGGAGTGAGTTTCACTTGGAAAAACAGAAGTCTGAAGGTCCAGGGAGGCCACTCGGGAAAATTAATGAAAACCTGTTGTCTCCATCATTCTGCCGTAGGCAGGTCTGGTGGACAATGAAAACATTTCTGCAAGCGAGGTCGCTCAGAGGCTCAGTGGTTGCAGGACAAGGCTCTTTACTATGCCCCAGAGGCACAAGACAGATGGGGTTGTGCTTTTAGGCTTTAAAATCAGTCCCTGCTATGGAGATCCAATGAAGAGGATAAAGACAGCCACAAAATGATCCTCTGGCCATGCTCAGAAAAAAGCAATAGAGGAACTCAAGAGGTCAGGTCCTGCTAAGAAAGCAGCTGAAGCGGTTTTCAAAGAGGGGTGCAGAGCGCTTTTCAAATCGAAGAAAACAAACAGCCCCCTGAGCAGTTTGGAGATGCCTACTCCGCCTCGCGCGCCCGGGAGGAGGGAACGCACAGTCTGAAGAGGAGCACAGACTGGGGGAGGCTGTGCTGCGAACAGAAAGCGTGGAGCAGCTCCGCAGGGAGGAAACTTTGATCTAACACTCAAGACTACGAGTTTTCTAAAGGGAGACACAGGCAAAACCATGCCTCAGTGCACTGAAGAGCTGTACACTCGGGGAAGCCCCAGCTCGTAGCTTAGCTTACAGGGTATTTCTCCTTCTAGTGGGGTGCCCAGCAGGGCTGGGGGGGAGGA